CCTGCGCTAAGTATAGCGCTAGCGCTCTGGCGCTAACCATAACGCACCGCTAAGTTGCGGGTGGTTCGATCCCTGAATGAGGCTGGACCGGTGGGGCAAAGGCCGGCCTCAATGCTGCGAGGCCTGGCCGTGCCCTGAACCGTCAAGATGGACGGATCAGCCCCAACCGGCGGGCGGCAGCCTCAAGAGCGCCGCCAGGTCCAAACGGTAATGTCGTTTGGGCCTGCCCGTCGGGTCTGGTCCAAAGTGAGGCCTTTACGGCCTGTAGTACCCCCAAGGAGGGCCTTTAGGCCCTACTGTGTCCCTCTAACCCTAAGTCGGGTCCGGTAGGACCCGTGTGGCGTCGAAGATGTAACACACTCCCCCTCTTAAAAGACCGAGCTACTTGTGAGGGCGAAGTTGTCTGTCCGATACCGGGGTGGGTCGGGCAGGACGAGCTGCTTCCTTAGCAAGGCGTCGCTTCTCATAGTCGGCGAAGATAAGGGGTGCAGAAGTCTGCAAATCTGTATTGGAGATCCACCGAGTGTCATCAGGCGCACATTGCTTGAATGTGACTTTGAACTGCATTGGCTTGTTGCCATACTTGCGATGCATGATGACTCGGTCGACTTCCTGATGTCCGTCCATAGAAGGCGGATCCTGTGATCGACGGTCGGGAAACTCGTCGGCGGGTAGATGGCCAGCTTCGATGCGTGGAAGACCCGGTGCACTGGAAGGTGCAGAGGAATGTTGACCACAAAGGAAGGACCTGCGGGGTCGTCTCCAACGGCAGAAGTGACTTCCCATGGTCCGAACCATTTCGGAAGGAGTTTGCGCGAAACGTCCTGCTCGAGCGCAAGTTCCGCGAAGAGGACCCAAACAAGGTCTCCCTCGCGGAAAGGGCATGGAAGTCGACGTCGGTTAGCCTGCTGCTGCATGCGGATCTGAGCCTTTTGCATATTCGCGCGGGCTTTGATCAGCAAGTCCCGGTACTTCCAAACGGAAGCGGGAGAGAAAGGGACGTCTATGTCGGCAGCCTGTGGCAAAAGGAGATCAGCGAAGATCCGTGCTTTCTCTCCACCATGATGTAGCTTGAATGGTGTGACGTAGATCGCCGGGTGCACCAAAGTGTTATAGGCGAACTCGATGTCAGCAAGCCGGTCAACCCAATCTTTCTGGTCGGGATGGATGAGCGTACGCAACATCATCTGAGCGGTCTGGTGCGCTCGCTCCGTCTGGCCATCCGTCTGCGGGTGCCGAGCCGAGCTCGACTTCATTGTCGTACCGGACTCAGCCATGGATGAAGTCCAAACGGCCGACATGAAGCGAGTATCTTGGTCGCTCACTATGTCTTCCGGAACACCCTGGTTGGTAATCCAACCGGTGTGCAAGAGTCGTGCGAGCTCAGGCGCTGCAGCATGATACTTGCAAGGAAGGAAGCGAGCATACTTGCTCAAACGGTCAACGACCGTGAGAATACCGTCATGGTCGTGGCGATCGCGGGGGAACGGGCCTGTCACGTCCATAGCAATGGAGAGGCGCGGTGCTCGAGGAATCGACAACGGTTTCAGTTCGCCGAAGGGGACTCGAGATCGACCCTTGTTACGGTGGCAAACTGCACATGACTCAATATACCTCGTGACATCATGAAGGACGTCGGGCCAGTGAAAACGTTGGCGGATGCGTGCTAATGTGCGGTTCACGCCAAGGTGTGCCGAAAGTCTTGCGTCGTGGAATTCGCCGAGAAGACGAGTCCGTAAGATGCGATCTTGGGGCACAACTAGCAAGTCCTTTCCTCTCGTGTGAAGGAGAAGGAACCCGTCGGAAATCCGATAGTGGCTAGCCGGCGGGTGATCCGATGAAAGCTCCGCGTAAAGCGTAGAGTAAGTCAGATCGGACTTGTAGCCTTTGACGAAATGCGGCTGCAGATCGTCATCGAGGTCGAATGCCGTGGTC